TCAATTACGCGTATGCGTCCTACAGTTTTAAATGCTTAGTGAGTTCTGGCCAGCACATCTTCTCTACCTTGCGTACTGGTTTGTGGATTTCCTCTGCTCTGATTGCTGAGACCTGAAACAAACCCTAGAAGTATCCAGAACGAGCGGATCCACAAGTTATCCAGAACGAGCGGATCCACAACTTAGCACGTGACAGTCTACACATGTCGGCGCCAGCTGTTGCCAGTATGTTTATATACAGTATACAGTTAATACGCTTTGAAGATGCTACGGTTCTCCTCCGTCACAGTTCGTGAGCTTGGAGTGAGTGCTACGACCTTGATCTGGACCCGGATCCGGATCTGGACCCGGATCTGAGATCTTGATCTGGGCCCGGATTCGACGCGTGCACTTAAGCTTTTTTGCAACTTGAGAATGTTGCATTTTCCAAGTTAATCTGATAGGGTACGTAAAGTCGTGGCCTTATGGTAATGTTGAAAGAATTTAAACGTGAACAAACAGCTTGCATTATGCATGTAACTGCTTAACAATTGGTACCACACAATTTCTAAGGAACCGAGCTTTTGTCACTAAAAACTACATGCATCTGCCATCCATGGTTGCAATGATATTTGTTTCTAGATAGCTTGTCGGCTTGGACGAGACCTCTCTGATTGCCAGTTTTACCATGGTGTAAGCACGGTTCGCTCAGGCTACAGTCTCGGTCACAACCATGAGTCAACCCGTCTCGTTCAAGGCACCGCAAACCCGAGGGTTGGTGGACGAACAACGCTACCATTGAGGATTGGTTCGACGAGATGGTGGGTCAGGCCAACATCATCAACCGGTACGCTGGCGTCTCCATGGAGGATATGTGGGGTAAGTAGTGAGCGTGTCTCGGAGCGCCAGACATGGCGCCATACTGCAGGCATGAGCTGCTGAGCGGCCGGCCTGGCGCCATACTGCAGACATGAGCTGTTGAAGCTGCCGGCCTGGCGCCATACTGCAGGCATGCGCTGTTGAGCTGCCGGCCTGGCGCCATACTGCAAGCATGAGCTGCTGAGCGGCCGGCCTGGCGCCATACTGCAGGCATGAGCTGTTGAGCGGCCGACCTGGCGCCACACTGCAGGCATGAGCTGTTGAGCTGCCGGCCTGGTGCCACACACAGGGCAGTTCGGTTTCACCTGCTGCCCTCAAAGCAGTTCAGTGTATCAAACAGGGGTGCAGCCAGAGCCTTTTGCAGGGGGGGGGGGGGCGTAGGGTTAATAAAGCGGCCCCTGATAGTGGAAGGCCTTCCCGCCCCACCGAATCGTCGGATATGGCCAATTTGTTAATGAAGGCATGCTCAGTTGCTGTTTCATTTTTACTGTCTATTTCTAGGATAGAAGCCAGAAGCTACCGCGAGGTAAATTCTGCCTGAATTTTGTCATCAATAAACTAAAGATATCACGCGATAAAAGGCTACATGAAATTAACTGCAGGCGCTCTTCATTGTGTTATGGTCCAGTAGGCTCTTACTAAACCGACAGGACTAAGAAGCGTTGCCATAATTTTCATCTGGGCTCCACGACGATATGAAGGACTCCGAGAATGTAGATCGTCAACTGAAATGAGTCAACAAGTTGTATGACCAAGTCATGTCAGTCATTATATGTCCAAGTCATGCACACGCGGCGATGTCCGATATTCGGTCACAATCAATTAGTGATTATGTCATATTCCGTAATTTTGAATATGCATTGGACATGCGTCACGCACATCTTTGCGCTCTCGCAAATATTAGCAACAAAAACGTCGACGGCAGGCGTTAGTCTCCATACGCCGCGCAGCGTCGGCCCGCGGCTGTCACTAAGCGGTGGCCATCAGGCAGGCGAAAATAATGATGCGTCTGGAAGAAGTACCTCTTAACGGTTCAGGATATAAAATCGTACATTTAGAAGCAGTTTGGGGATATATTTCACCTGTGCGACTTTTAAGTCATTAGTAATAGCCTCATTCATCGTAGAAAAAAAAAACGAGAATGGGGATATAGATGCTTTGTTATTTCGACAACATGTCTTTATCGAAAAAATAGGTGAAACTAATTTAGAATTACCTGCCGATGGCCCTGCTCGATTTTTCATGTAATTTTTGAAACAGCCAGCAATATGTTTTACAGGACACCAACATCCAGGGGACTGTACAAGGAGCAATTACCAGTGATTTCTACGATGCGGTGCATATCTAGCTAAGAAAAATAATACGCGACAATATGTGTGGATGCAAGCGAATTCAAGTGAACAAGCACCAAGCACCATGCGTGCTTCACTCGAACATGCAAGCGATTTGAAGCTAACAGGCATCACACATCACGCATTAATTATGCAGGCAAACAATTTTGATTTAACAGGCATCGCGCATCGCGCATCAGGCATCACTTATACATGCAAACAATTTTAAGCTAGCACACATCACCTATTAAAGCACGTATTACGTTCGCATAATCGGCCATGACGAGCCCTGTACGTTTAGTTTTGGTCGCCGACTTTTTGTAAGAATACCTTCAATTATTTTCCTGTCTGGGTGGTCCTGTGCTCTGTAGATGACTTTGAGCTCTAAAAAGGGTACGAGGTCCATACCTTCCTGGATTCCAGCCTGAACGTGACGTGACACCGGCCCTACCATTGGTGACGTAACACTGGCCCCACTACTAGTGACATGACGCCGGCCCTATCACTGGTGACATGACACTGGCCCTGCCCCTGGTGACATGACGCCGGTCCCACCACTGGCGACATGACGCCGGCCCTATCCCTGGTGACGTGACGCCGGCCCTATCCCTGGTGACGTGACGCCGGCCCTATCACTGGTGACATGACACTGGCCCTACCCCTGGTGATGTGACACTGGCCCACCACTGGTGACGTGACACTGGCCCACCACTGGTGACATGACACTGGTTCTACCCCTGGTGACGTGACACTGGCCCACCACTGGTGACATGACACTGGCCCTACCCCTGGTGACGTGACACTGGCCCACCACTGGTGACGTGACACTGGCCCACCACTGGTGACATGACACTGGCCCACCACTGGTGACGTGACACTGGCCCACCACTGGTGACATGACACTGGCCCTACCCCTGGTGACGTGACACTGGCCCACCACTGGTGACGTGACACTGGCCCACCACTGGTGACGTGACACTGGCCCACCACTGGTGACGTGACACTGGCCCACCACTGGTGACGTGACACTGGCCCACCACTGGTGACATGACACTGGCCCTACCCCTGGTGACATGACACTGGCCCTACCCCTGGTGACATGACACTGGCCCTACCCCTGGTGACGTGACACTGGCCCACCACTGGTGACGTGACACTGGCCCTACCCCTGGTGACATGACACCGGCCCTATTGGCTGGTGCTGGCCAGGGGTAGGGCCAGTGTCACGTCACGTGTCAGTGAGGGGCCGGCACGCGCCGCGTGCCGGCCCATTACTGACCTGTGCGCTTGTTGCCGCCAGGTGTTCGCGTGCCGTTCCTGCGCGTAGGCTGGAACCGGCAGTTCGTGATGATGCGCGAGTTCGGCTTCGTGTACGACTCGTCGGTGACGGCGCCCTTCTCGGATATCCCTTTCTGGCCGTACACGCTCGACTATCGGATCCCGCACAAGTGCGTCGGCCAGGGCGTCAAGTGCCCGTCCCGCTCGTTCAGCGGCATCTGGGAGATGGTGATGAACCAGCTGAAGGTTAACGTGAGTCCAGGGGCCTGACGGCTCCGACAACCGTCCGCGCTCCTCAGCTGTCCTCGGCCTTTTTGCAGTTTTCAGCTGTCACTGGCGGCTAACTTACCGCAGTTTTCAGCTGCCACCTGTGGTTTACCTTTCTTGCTTTTCGACTGTTACCGGCAGTACCCCTGTTTTGCTTCTCGGCATTCATCGTCCGTACACATTTTTTGTTTTTTCAGCTTTCACCGTCCGCATACCTGCATTTGCATCCTTGGCGACATGTCCTGTATGCAATGATACGTGCTCCGCGCGTACCGACTCTTCCTCTTGCTCTGGAGTCGTACAGAACTGTATCTCAGTCCATACATTGTATCTGATGCATGAGTGATTTGTCTTTTTTAGAAAGCTCACACTGATACATTCGTGCGACTACTAATATCAGTGTTTATTTCCTATTGACGAACCATCAGAAACAACAGCTTCGTAAACTAATTGGGGTGGTGCTGAGAAGGAACACAAGTGCACGCCCCTAAAATGAGTCTCTCTCCAGATTTTCCCCAATTTCTCCTCGTTGTCAAGGGCCGGATCCCCCTCCAGCTGAATTAGCAACTATTATTTAAAACTATCACAACATGCTCTAATGTTCGCACAAATGATGCAGACCGAAAGCGGGCCCAGTGGCTCGTAATCTGACTGAGCTTTATAGAAAGACGAGCATAATGCCATTAGTCGGAGATCTATTACTGGGAACTTCTCAAAAAAGGTGAAGGCACATTGAAAACTACGCGACCGTAAACCCACAAATACTTCATTCAGGGCGAATTCCTCGGGAAGAAAGTTGTGGAAGCAAAAGTGGGACAGCACTGTGACACACTGTCGCCTTTCCAGGAGTACACCTGCGCCATGGTGGACAATTGTCCTCAGGTGGAGGACGAGGAGGACCAGTTCCAAGTGTTTATGTCCAACTTTAAGCGTCATTACACGACCAACCGAGCCCCATTCGGCCTGTACTTCCACACTGGGTGGTTCCAGAAGAGATCCAATCTGAAGGCACTGACGGTAAGAAAAACGTGTATAAAACGTGCGCTTAGATTTGTAAATGCACAAATGGCAAAATCTGAGCGGGCTCTATTAAACCCTGCCTGGTGAGCACTCAGCATTGACACATTTTTGCTGGGTGATTGCGATTTGACTAGGCCGTTATACCGCGACGTTGCGGTGACAGCCCGGTGTCAAGCCAAGGGGCAGCTGCAAGAACCCGTATTCATCTTAACCGAGGGCTGCTGGCGCTGTCGGTCGCTGCATGGGAGTCATATCCGAGAACTACTGGCGCTGTCGGTCGCTGCATGGAAGTCATAACTGAGGGCTACTGGCGCTGTCAGTCGCTGTATGGGAGTCATATCCGAGGAGTACTGAGGCTGTCGGTCGTTGCATGGGAGTCATATCCGAGGACTACTGGCGCTGTCAGTCACTGTATGGAAGTCCAATCTGAGGACTGCTGGCACTGTCCGTCGCTGCATGGGAGCACGCAGCGACGAGCGCCAGTAGTCCGTGGTAGTCATTTCCGAGGGCTACTGGCGTTGTCGGTCGCTGCATGGGCGTCATATCCGAGGACTACTGGCGCTGTCGGTCGCTGCATGGGAGTCATATCCGAGGACTACTGGCGCTGTCGGTCGCTGCATGGGAGTCTAATCTGAGGACTACTGACGCTCTCAGTCGCTGTACGGGAATCTAATCCGAGGGCTGCTGGCGCTGTCCGTCGCCGCATGGTAGCCTCGGCCCGGAAGACACTGGGCTGTAAGGCGTGTCCAGTTGGCAGCCCTGTGCTCTCGCGCCGCTAACGGGTGTGCCCACTTCTGCCGAACAGCGTTTCCTGGACGAAATCGGCCAAAAACAAGACGTGTGGGTGGTCAACAACCGCGAGGCCATTCAATGGATGCAGAAGCCCGTCCCACTCTCCCAGATAAATCAGATGGAAGAGTGGAAATGCGGGAAACAGGTCGGTATTGGTTACGGGTCTGTAAGTGCGTGCTTATTCGGTAGATTGGGGTAACCGGAAATAATGTACGGGCGCTGGCGTAGAACGGTAAGTTCTATTATCTTCAGCCTTCACATGGTGTGTCGTCTTTTGACAGCCATTCGCTCTTTATGCTCAAGAGTACTTTAGCACGCGCTCGGGTGGGGGTTAAATTGACCCCCCCCCCCCGAGGGCTTTCCAGGAATGGTTTCCAAGCGGCACGGCGCAGCCACGCTAAATTTTGCAAAGCGGTAGGAAATTGGATAGCGGATCGTCTGGCATCAACAATGTATCTGTACCTTGCAAGGTCGCTGACCTACGGCCAGTCAAATGCATGCCATGGTTTCAGCGAAGGCAATTTCTAGGGAATCATTCAATCTGATCCAGCAACGGAGTGTTAGACGAAAGCACACATCTCTGGGATACTTTTATAGGCAACACGACAATTGAATTAACAAATTGCATTGACCTAGGATCAGGTATGAAGGTCACAACAAGGCCAAAACCAGCCTGTTTTTTTCCTCTAGGGCTTACTGTATGAGATAGTTTCTGTCGCTCATTTCGAATTTATTAATAACAGGAACCGCATTATGCACCTTCCATGTACTCCTTGAAGGTTAAAAAAGGTCACAGGCCAGTCTCGAAGCAGTCTTGTATGATTCTGCTTACCATTGCCTCCAAAATAACAAACAAGGTCACTGGCCTCAGATGAGCATGTGACCTTTTGCTAAGAACAATCGTCTAGGTTCTAAGGGTCCTTTGGAGAGCAGTCTGAAATTTGATCTTGTTTGACCTTATTTGACCCAAAGGTCATGACCTGCAATCTCAAACTTTGACCCAAGTGAGTTCACGTACAGGTCAACACACCATGTGAATTTGGTGTCTCTAGCAGCTCAAGGTCGGCCTGAGGACGGATACACTTACCACCTCCAGCTACTTGTTACGCACACTTTCTTCAGAAGGTGAGGATAAACAAGCACAATCATTTGCTTTCCAACCCGTAGGTACCTCTGGAGGATAAGGCGTGCAACATCCCGAGTACGTGTCACGTGCGCAGCCGGGTGCTGCGCACGGACCGCTACCTCTACACATGCTTCGAGTGTCCCAAGACTTACCCCTGGATCCGGGATGAGTTCGGCGTGGATCTGTAGACAAGCCAAGACCTACCCCTGGATCCGGGATGAGTTCGGCGTGGGTCTGTAGGCCAGCCTCGCCGCTGGTTTCCTACATGGCACTGTGTCCGGGTGCGACCCCTGAAACGCGTGACGCTGGTGACATGTACCGACGAGGGCGTCCACGTAGATTTTGCAGCCAGGAAAAAAGTAGAAACGAGTCAGGATATTTGCACGTTGTGTTTATGCTATGTAGGGATGCTTGCTCGGCAACCTGGTGGTTCACTGGTACAGTACCACTGTTATAATTGTAAACTGGGCTTGGAACACCTTTTTGTATCGCTAAGATGCTGCTTGATTTTACTGTTGTAACCACCAGCTGGACTTACTTGTGCCGATCTTGTATCAGCATGTTGTCCTTCCCAATGTTATTGATCGACAGTGATTTTGTTCGCTGTCGCCACCTACTGCTGAAGGTGCGTATATGATAGCGTTCTGTTGTATCTGACGTGTAATTATTGTAGTTCACACTGGGCGCTATTACAGCGGATCTTTGAAGCCATTGTGAACGCAGCCTTCTGTGTGATATCTGTCTGTTTTTTTTGTTTTTGTTTTTGTTGATTAGATGCCGGTCCTGCATTTTGTGACTTCAACGGTTTAATATATTTTTCAAGTTAAGGTGGACTGTCGTTACCTGCAATATTTGAGGAAATTCTACCGATAGCACAATTTTTTTTCTCCACGTTGTGGGACCGAAATCCCGGCTGAGTGGGGGACTATATTCCTGTCAGCGACCCGAGCCTAGGCCCAACTGGCATCTTTTTAAAGCTTGGCTAAAAGTTGAGCCAATTTTAGGGATTTCCACGCCCAAGGTTCACCAACGGATCTGAAGCATGCTAATGTTATAACGCATACCATAGCAGGGCGATATGTTCTAATCGGCGCCAGCAAGGACGAGTCTCAGCTCCTAGGTTTATGAGTTGATTATGAGTGAGGCTATGAAATTATCATGAGGGTGTCATGAGCTACTATGCTAAAAATAACCTGTCTGTATTATATCAACATACGTCATGCGTAATATCCTAATCCGACCCAATGTTCGCATAGCAAACAGAATGACTGGTGGAGATGCGTCAAGCAGTATTCGTTACGAAGACGATTGGCAGGGGAAAGTAGCTCGCCATAGATTGTTTCCGGCGCTTTCGGCACATTCTTGCGCTATGAACATGTGCTCCTTTACATCACGGAAGCCAGTGCATTACAGGCACAAGCTCCGACCAGGACGCGCAAAACAGAAGTCGTGCAAGCTCACAGCATGCACGCGGCAGTCGGGAGTCGACATTTGTCATGCAGTCGTTTGGAAGAATAAACAGGCAGCGCGTACACGATGGACTAGGTGTTGTTCTGTTAAACTTAGTGTCATGATGTGCTGACGTCTGGTGTGTTTGTTCGGCCTGATTTACCTACAAGATCAACTCTTTCACAATATACTACACCAGATTGCATGAGTGTGATCTGTTCAATTTTAGTCGTAATGACTCATTGGAATTCAACCACAACATATGTGAAACAGAGCAGAACGAGTTAATGGATCAGCGAAAAGCTATTCATTTACAGGATATCATCGGTGAAATGCGTACACTTTTGCGAGTTTTTTGGTGACAACAAATGCGAAAACGGAAAAAATTAGCAACAGACCACCCCAGCTAGTCGAAACTCAAAGATTAGTATCGTTGTTTTTTGCAGCGTGAGCTTGTGTAGCGCACATGTGGAACATTGGCGCTAAGCTGCATAAGCAAATTAAGTCACAAAATGCTTCCAGTCATAGTGGCTCAAATCAGGATGCTCAAATGCATAAAATAAAGGACTACACAGGAACATGGGATATATACCAGGTGGCACCACCCTGACTACGCCCTTCCCAGCGAAGATCCCTACGTGACGTCACGGGGGATACACCCTTAACACTGGGACGGCTACGCGCATGGTATCGGACTTGAGCGACCGCATGTATCAAAGCACGGTTGGTGGGTGGAATCATTCGAAAGATCAAGGTAAATATGAATAAGTGAGTACAGTACAGTTGTGTGAAGGTAATCCAAGAACCGAAGCGACAATATAGGAATCCGGAAGCAAGCTATTCGAAGAGGATCTGACAAGTTTTACACCAAAGGAGCACTTCGTATTAAGAACTATTTATGACTTCGGAGACACCAGATGGACTCAAACTGCAGCCCCGGGTTACCAGCCCATGTCGTCGATCACAACCACCGACCTCCGCTGAGCTCACCCCAAGCGAGTCCATGCAAGTTCCAGGCCCCATTGGTATTGAGCCAAAGCCCCGGTCGGAGAGATCAACCGGTGGGACAAAGTGGTCACATCGACGTAGCCTGGGACGGTGTCCCAAAACGAGTGTGTGTGTGTGTCCCTCACTTTCCTGGCTGCGACATCTTGATGAGCGGTCATGCATAACAGCATGAGAAGCTAAGGTGCCCCAAGCTCCTCGGCTGGGGCTCCCGACCCGGGGCTGGCCAGGCACATTCGCGCAGCCCCATCCAGTGGGAGCACCCAATTCAGTGCGCACTGGGGCCTAGTGGGCACTGGGCCTGGGGCCTGGGGCCTAGTCACTTACAGAAGCAGCGCCCTGAAGACCGCTAATCTTATGATGCAAATGACACCGCTCCCTCGCTCCATCTTTGCCCGGTAAATATCGGATGAGACTTGCTCGAGCCTTAAACCAAATGCAGTCTGAGAGCGCACCCCAGTCGACGTTCATAAGCTTTCGGCTATTCATATTCTTTGCAACGGACCTGTTAACAACGATATTCCTTGTTTGACAACAGGCTTTAGTTGTACGACCACCAACCGTGCAATGTCATCTCGCTCACGCAAGACCACGAGACACACTCCTGCCTGCCACCGTTTCGATTTCTTTCATGTAGGAATTCAGCTGCCCTGGCTATCGAAGTCCTCCGTTGTTTTTTTCGCGGTCGAGGAAAGAAAATGCAGCCGTAGATCGAGTTTAAACGTTAGACCCAGCAGGTTCCGAGGATGGAAGAGAACTGCTGTTGGGATTGGGCAATCCCATAGTCAAGGGCCGGTACGCCTGCTTTCCTAACAGCAGCAGTTATCCTGACATTAAATGAAGGACATCGTATGATTAAGCGTCTTGGTTGTGTGCATGATATTGCAAACATGATATTGCAGAATGTTGGTAACACTTTTCCGAACATCGAAGAAACGGATTTATCAGGAATTTTCTCACTGTGGAAGGCACAGAAACCCTTCTTGAAAATAAAGGTCACTGTGTCTCGAGATAAAGATTTCGGTACCCCTTGCTTTAGAAACTTTCTAGATTTCGTTCAGGGTGGGAGGCACGGCATCGTTGCGCCCTGAGCGTGAGGGTTTGGAGCTCTTTGTTGTGCCCTCCAGAATCTGGTGGCTCTTAAAAAAGTAATGGTGTCGGAAATAACCGCTTCAGTGTTCCTTTGCCGAATGAGATGATCAGGAGTTTTGTCAAACGGACAGTGGCAATATATAGTGGTGCCCCTGGAATTTGGTGCGCTCCCCCCCCCCCCCCACGAACCGAAATGAGAATGTGGGACCCTTTGCGGCTTCCTTAGGCTTTAATGCCTTTTGGAAATAAAGGTTTCTTTGGAAATAAAGTATCCTCCTCAGCCTCATTGGCTGGTACCTCTGGGAGAAACCCAACAGTCGCTTAAAATCACTGCCTTCCGGAAGCCTCCTGGAGCGGCCCAGAAGCGGCACCATTTATAGGCACGCGCGGTGTCCACAATGACAGGTAAGTGCTGTCACCAAATGGTGGCTAGGTTCCGTCTTTGAACCAAACAGGGTGCAAAATCTCTATCTTGAATTTTCAGAAGCTATGAATTATATGAAGAAACATGACTAAAAAGCATCCATCTGCTGTCCTGCGCTCATCCTCAAGAGATAAGCCCATGAGGATGAGCGCAGCTGGTTATATTGAGTACCGCCAATATCATCGTTTTGTGGCACCACAACGCTATTCAATCAGTACCTCCATACATGCTGAAGGTCTTAAATTCAAAATAATTCGTGTCATACCGCTGAAGAACCAAGAGCTACAAGTCTTCCATCTTATATGTACAAATGATGACCTGAGAGTAACGTGGACAAGATTAATAAAGAAATGCGTCTCGGAAATAGGACACGCAGGGTTCATGTGTTTGGCCCCACAACAGAACCGCAAAGTCCCCCCCCCCTGAGTCCATCCCATCCTTACCCAACCCAAACCAACCCGACCTAACTTTACCTAACCTAACCTAACCTAACCTAACATGACGGCCAATGTGCGGGCCTCCTCGAGGTCGTGCCCTCTCTTGAAAATCACGTTTGCGCTTCGAGCCCCATCTCAGCTGTCATCAAACTCTCCACCCTACCTTATGCACGCTCCAAGCCTAGCATACGTGTTGCCTGGTGAGCACCTTTCGCCGTCTCCTAAATATTACATTGCACTGAATTTTTTAAAAATAACTTCACATCAGGCTGCTGGTTCCTTCAGAACAGCATACGCGCTCTGACGGGAAGGAGAGGCAGAGGCGATGCGACGCCCCCCCCCCCCCCCCAAGGCTTTTTGGGGATACCAGTCTGGTACTGCTGTGCGGTCACGCTCAAATCTTTGGTAGCCTCTGAGGGATCTATTGCGCGTGTGTTGACACCAAAAGCTTGCCCCTAGCCTTTCTGAATTCGAAGAAGCGACGGCTCTTTACGATCGCTGCAAAATGATCCAAGGCCGGCGTTGGTGGTGGTATGTGGCAGTCATAACCCATTTATGCGCAAGCTCTCAATGCATGAAATTTCATCGCTAGAATATGCTGCAACCTCAGCCATTGATGTTCATGCTCCTAAGGTTGTGAGCACGCAGGCCCAAAACTGTTTTATGCAATTTGTTTCACATGATGATGATGGCCCTGAACAAAGATGGACGCTTCATTTGTAACCCTAGCCGGCAGCCCGGTCCCACAGCTCCCTCTGAAGGGCCGAGCCGGACGGCCGCAGCGAAGAATCGGCGCCGGTAATGACGGTATGCAGAACGATAGCATAGACACTCACTAACACACTTCCTCATGCGTATACGCAATCGAACACCAATGGCAATGCACCCAGTACTAACGGTAGTTTATCGCTAACTGCCCCATCCACACGATATAAGTGTCCCCCCTCCCCCCCCCCCCCCCCCCCCGCTAGCGTGCTGCTCAACCAGGTGAAACCACAGCCAGTCTCTCCTAGATCACGGACCACGTCTGGTTATAAGTATGGATTGTATCGGTGCTCACAGCTACATGTCTCTCTACATCGGTGTACCTTTGAATAAACACAAAGAAACCTTGGCTATATGGCTCACACGGTGCATGGCGATACCGCCATATGTACTGCTTGCCCAATAGCAAGCACAGTCGAATAGCAGACCCAGTAAGTGTTCCGGCCGGATCAACAGGATTGTAAACGCTAGTGATAAATTTCATATAGTGGGTTATCTGTGAAGTCGCAGTCGCGCGCTCAGGTCAGTCCAGAAAGTTAGCGACCCGGGGCAGAACCAGAACACATGTGGTACGTCCTCGTTATGGCTCTGGCAGCGCAGGCACTGATTCGTCTCTTTGATCCGATAGAGGTGTAACATGCGGTTCGTCGGTAGGA